AGTACTCCTCTTCACAGGTGGCTTTGGATGCGGTCACAGGCTGTTGGGGGATCAAAGTGGAGAGAACAGAAATGTAGGTAGGAAATGCTGACAGAGGGGACTTCCCTAGCCCTTTGGAAGTACCTGTCCTGCCCTGCTTCTCTTCCTGCTCTGCCTCTGGCTTTCTCCCTGCAGAAGGTAGAGCCTCAGCTCTCGCCTTCTTATTTTCCCTGCTCCTTTCTGCCTCGTGTATAACTTCCATGTGCCAGGAACGTGTTGCTCGTGCACTGACAGCCAGGGCAGGATCCTCAGGTGGGACCCCATCGCCGTTTCAGTGCTGCGGGCAGAGTTTGCACCCAGTTTCGGCAGCCCAAGAGGCACGGCAGGCACCCAACCCTGTGTCCCACTCTAGCTCAAAAGACCCAGAATCTTAGCACCGGTAGGGATGGGCTCATCACCCGGAAGCCCACGCAGCAAGGTGGCACTCGCTCATCATGTAGGCGGCCACGGAAGAAAGAGTCAAGCAGTGAATGAGTACATCTAGGGATGGAAGGAATTCCTGCCTTGAGAGCAGTTTCCCAGTGGAAGCTTTGCTGTCTCAGTATCATGTAGAAGGCCACAGAAGAAAGAGTCAAGCAGTGAACTTGTACACGAGTACAGTGAACTTCCATCTAGGGATGGAAGGAATTCCTGCCTTGAGAGCAGTTTCCCAGTGGAAGCTTTGCTGTCTCAGTGAGCCTAGACGTGAAGCCTCAGAGGCACAGAGGCCCTGCTGCTGCCCATGCAATCCTGGTCAGTGGCAAACCAGGCAGGAAAAGGAGGAAGGGAATGGAAGTGGAAGGCTAAAGCGAGACACACCAAGAGGGATGGCCCAGGGAGGAAAGAACACTAGTGAATTGCTCTGCAGAGACTGACTGATGAGCCCATTCCAAACCTCAGATTAACAAGCCAGCATTGCCAGGAGGTTCCAGAGCCCAGCTAATCCCTGTCCTTTACTGCCACAGCAACAACGTGCAGCTGCCTGCTGAAGTCCAGCAGTCCCTGGCTGTGGAAGCAGAGGCCCAGAGACAGGCCAAAGTGCGGGTATGCCAACACTGAATACTTCTCATCTCCTTCCAAAGCATCCCTCCTTCCTTTCCTACCCGATTTGAGATCCCTGGGACACACCACAGGAGGATGCAGCTCTGGGAAGATTTCCTTTCATTCCTGTTCAAGGAATTCAAGGGCAATGGGAGCTGCAGCGAGTCTGGGCCAGCCCAGTGGGGTGCCAGATCTGGTACCTAGCCAGAGGTAGAACATAAGGACACACAGAGAGGCCTGGGGGTAACCCCACAGCGATCCCCGTGGGGATCTCCTGCTCTAGAAGCCCAGTGCAGGGCTGTCACCACTGCCATGTACCCTGCAACTTGCTCATTCCAGGCTGGTCTCCATCCCTGGCTGCTCAAGATCCTGGACAAGGCTGGTGTCCAGTGCCCCTTCCCCAAGCCTAGCCGGGGGCTGCCCTCCCTCTCCCATGCGTTTGCAGCAAGGGTCTGCCCAATTGTGAGCCCCAGTGGGCTTAGGAAAAACAAGTTAGACATGAGCTCCCAAACCTTTGGGAGCATCAAGAGGTCTAGTATATGCCATGATCTTCAGAGAGCAGGAACGTTATAATCACACTGGCCCTGGGAATTCCGTGGTGGCAACCTCCCTCTGTAACAAACAGTCCGTGCCCCCTTACTCCCAGCCTCACAGAAACCTTCTTTATTCCCCTGCTCGGTAGGTGATTGCTGCTGAGGGGGAAAAGGCTGCTTCCGAGTCCCTGCGGATGGCAGCCGAGATCCTGTCCAGTGCCCCTGCCGCTGCTCAGCTCCGTTACCTCCATGCGCTGCACTCCCTTACCACGGAGAAGCCTGCTGCTTTCATCCTGCCCTTGCCTTTGGATACCACGAACCTGGTCCCTCCGGCAGTGGGCGGCCTCACCGCAGACACCACAAAGCTCCCAGAAAGCCTGAAAGACAAGAAGGACTCACCCATGCTCTAAGAGCTGTCCCAGAAATGGTTCCCACACTGTCCCTGGTCCATCCCGCTCTGAGAGGAGCGAGACGGCTGGTCTACCGGCAGCCCACCAGCAGGTCCTGGCCTGGAGGCCTGAGGGAAGGCAGCCCAGGTCTGTAACATAAAGTGGATTGTCCATGGAAGAAGCCTCCGCTTGTTTGGGAAAGGGAGAAATACAGAGCACAAGGGGCAGGGATGGCACGTGTGTGAGCAGGGGTTGAGGGAAGAGGGGTGTCACCCTCCCCTTGACACCCTAGGGCCTGGCCCCTGGGGTCTGACCCATCCTGCCCCATCACCTTGGCGGGAAGGACAGAGCAGCCCCTTAAAACTACCTAAATCCCCCCCATCCCAAACTGACCAGGCGGGCGGGGGGGTGGGCGTAATGGGTGGGGGAGCCAGAAGGGGCTCAGCATGCAGGCACAGTGGTTCTGCAATGAGGGAACGAGCTGGATCCCACAGGATCCTGGATACAGGATTTCAATCCCCACCCGTGCACACGTAGAAGCAACCAAGGTTGCTATCCAGGGATGTTGTGGATGCCCCAGCCCTGGAAGTGTCCAAGGCCAGGCTGGATGAGGCTTGGAGCAACCTGGTCTAGTGGAAGGTGTCCCTGCCCATGGCAGGGGGGTTGGAACTGGATGGGCTTTAAGGTCCCTTCCAACCCAAACCATTCCATGATTCTGTGATTCTGTAAGGTGGGTAGGCCTGGTTCTAAAACACGGTAGGGGAGGAAAGGGCACTTCCCTGCAAGGCTGTGCAGAGGAAAGGCAGGCTGTGCTGCTGCTCGCTTCCACTGGAGGGGGAAGCAGGACAAGCTGCTGGGCATCCCACAGCAATTCAGAGGTGATCCGTATGACGGATTCCATTCAGCAGACAAGGAGGAACCCAGCTCTGCTGGGAAGAGTCAGCTGAGAGCTGGAGAACAGCAACATCGCCTGCTGCAGATGGCTTGGTGACCTCTACGCACAGGGAGGAACAGAGAAAGTCCTCAAAACTCCTATATTCCTTTCCTGCCAAAAGCTATCTGAAAGGACCAGGAGCCTGCAGATGCTGCAATCCCTTCCCTCGGCAAAGATACGGAGCACTGTCAGCGGAAATACCCTGGCACTTGACTTCTCCGGCCCTGCAGCATCTCCCCTTGCTTCAAAGCACATTCTCTCTTGCACAGCCATTCCCAGGCCCAAAGTTCTGCTGCTGGTGGCCCACAGAGGCCTGGACAGAGGGCACTTGGTGGCCCTTAACTGCCCACGCAGCAGCTGGCCGTCACGCACGTGCCTAGCGGGGGTCGCTCGCTCTTGCGCGTTGATTTTATTCAGTCCCTCTTTGCCTGCTGCTAACGCTCACGCGTGCTGGTACGTATCATCAGCAATGCTTCTGGTAAACACGGCCACGGCGCAACACGGACCAGGATCCCGCTTTTTCCAGGTGCCACATATTCCGTATTTAATCAGCCCCTGCAGCTCCCTGGAGCCCCATTCTCAGCGCTCCCATAACACTCTACGGGGACACCCTGCGAACCAGCCACCTACAAGTGCCTGGGATGTGGGGAAAATCCACCTGTGAACTTGGAGCGATCACACGAGCATCCAAGCTCTGGCTATAGCCTCCCATTCAAACCATTCTGCCACTGCAGCCCCCGTAATCTTCCGTTGTTTCTCACGCTGTTGGAATAGGCCCCTGTTTCCCAACCTCGGGCAAAAGGGCGAAATACTACAGGGAGTGAGCTGCAGATGAACCTTTCTCTGAGCACTTTGCTGGCTGCGTTTCTAACTCCGTGTAAAATGATCCATCCGGACCAAGATTGCTCAGCACACTGCGGACCAACACCTCTACAGATAACATCCCAAAGGAAGAACAGTCTGAGAAATGACTGTCAAGGGACAGGCCAGGGCGCATGCACTGCCCCGTTTGCACTCACAGCTGCAGAAGTCAGGCATCACTTTTTCAAACACGTAACTTTTCTACAGTTACAGAAAAGGCAAATTATAGCTAAGAGCATCCTCTGTTCCAAAGAGGCCTTGTTCCAGCAGGATCTTCTCTTTGTTACATATCCAGAGCAGGCAGAAACATGTCATTTTACCATCGGGAGATACTACGTTCAAAACCGTTGCAGAAGGAACACATAATTTAAAAATGTACTTCAGAACTAGTGATATATGGTGTTTCCAAAATAGAATTTACTCCGAGGGAGTTGGCAGGGGTTGTCTCAGCCGACAGGATTCCTGACAGTTCCACTGCCTGCTCTTTCCAGCAGAGACTGGGTTAAACTGTGGAGTCATGCCGAGCCCCGGCAGCTTGTCTGGCCTTGCAGAGCTTTGTAACGACACGCACTGCTCTGGGCTGGGGACCGGGCAGAGGCAGAAGTCCTGGTGGCCACCTCACTGGGCAGGTTGGCTTGTTGAGGCTGCAGGTGTTACCACGGATGGGAGGGACAAGGGGCTCGGATGCCACACAGAAATCACAGGGAGGTGGAGCATTTAAATGCCATCCCAGTGCACTGAGTGGGTGAACTGGCAGCACCCGAAGTCTGATTTTGTGACCTTGGTTGCAGGCAACTCTCCTGTGACAGCAATTTGAGAAAGGCCTTCAGGATCAGGCACAGCTCCAGGCTGCTTTACACTTGCTGGAAGAAGGACAAAAGCCTTCAAAAGAAGAAGATTCAAGGACAAATTAAAATTTGTCTGTACAATTCCGTAGGATTTCTTCCTAACCAACCAGCTGGTAACTGGATCATCCAAAGCCCAGAGGATACACATCATCAGATGCACAACCAGGCCATGCTGGCAGTGAGAAAACAACCCCTTGATATGAGAGGAAAAAGGTACAAATGACTTACTTGCATGATCCAACAGGGATGAGGCAGACAAGCAAGATGGATGCGGAAGTGGTAGAAGATGGTGGAGTAGTAGGTAAGGAGTAAAGTGGATCGGGGTGAAACACTACTATGAATGGGCACTAAGAGACTACTCAGGCACTGCTGTTCTTTAATGTTTGCTGTTTCTGGATCCTTTCGTTTGGTCAGAGATAGAAGTTCTGTGACTTGAGCAGGCCCCGACTTCCGAGACGCTTTCTTGGAAACATTTTTCTGAAAGAAAAACAGAACAACCACCCAAAGCCGTTAAAAATAGCATGGAGTTAAGGACGTAATATCTTGGGCACAGTTTAACAAAGTAGCTTCTCCTTCCGCTTTGATGACAAAGAGACAGGATACTTTGAAGGACTAAGGGAAGGAGTTTTAATTCCCATACTTCTTCTCCATATCTGACATCTGTGTGCAACCAGTTGAGAAAGGACACAGGGAAATTCTCTCATCCACAACAAACACGCGACCCGAGGAACTTACTGGTATTGCCCATACGGTGTGGCAGCAAGTCAGCAGTGTTAAATGACTCCTGGAGACAGCAAGTGTCCTGTGCTGTGAACACAAAAGGTCTGTGGCCTCCAAGAGTGAAGGGACCTGGAACATGATTTCTTTTCTATCCCAAAATCAGTGATCCTCAACAGATCTTCTTCTTTTCCCAGGGAGGTGGTGGAGTCACCATCCCTGGATGTGTTTAAGAGACGGGTGGATGAGGTGCTGAAAGATATGGTTTAGTGGCGGACAGATACAGTTGGACTGGATGATCTCTAAGGTCTTTTCCAACCTAGTGATTCTATGATTCTATGATTCTATGACTGTAACAGGGAACACTGACTTACAAGGAAGATGAAGGTAATAACAGTGACCTCCTACAGACCCTGTGTCACATGTCAAAATAAAAAAAAATTACTCAAAAAAACCCCAAACCAAAACACAAAACAAAACAAAAAAACCCACACCACCAAAAAAACCCCAGCAACCAACCAACCCACACCACAGTCAGGAGTTCCTTCTGCCCTGATCCAGAATCATGTTAGAAGACTCCTTGCTTGGCCTCTGACAAAACCTTGGGATGTGTCTGGGGGAGAGGGTCCTGCACTAAATGGGAGATGAATGCAGTGTCCTCAAAGATCGATTCCCTCTCTGAGCCAGGGAAAGGGTTCAGAATATTGATTCTCCTGACCTTGCCCTTCTTCATGTGTCGCTTCTGGGATGACTTCCCCCTCCTTCTCCAGCTCACTTTCTAGCTCTTTGATTCTCTGCAGAGCTTCTTCCAGCTTCTCTTCAAGATCTCCCGATCTCTCCTCTGCATTCTGAGCACGGATCTCTGTTGCCCCGAAACACAGAAGCAAAGGTAACGCTGAAACCTGCAATCTAAGCAGCTGCTGGCAGGAGAGCTATAAGAAAGATTTAGAAAGCTGAAGCATTCAGTGGGACGGACCGACTCTATAAAACACATTTATGGTTTCAGGGAAGGGCGTTGTTAAAAGACTTATCAAGGACTCACTTCATGGCACATCTGTGTAAACCCTGCAAATGGAATTGATTTTAAAACTCAGTGTTTGCTAGCAAAGGGGGCGATGCTGACCTTCACTGTGCAAGGATAAACACAGAGCACAGTCAATTCTGTTAGCAAGGGTCACCCTGGATAATGTAAGCTCACAGGCAAAACCAGAAGTACGAGGGAATGGGATTCAGAGTGCCCAAGCCTGGTTAGGCAAGGAAGGAGTCCTTACCGAACACGAACCTTACTGCGAGTCGGCACGGAGCCACTTGGGTGTCCCTTCATTGCGCTCCCCATGCTTAGGCACCACATTGCATGGCTGCACCGAGCTCCTGGGCACCTACAGGCCCTGGAAGCGCTCAGCTGCATCCACGTAGCACCACGCGAGTGCCAACAGAACCTGACGGATTGGGATGTCGTGCAGAGAACCATCATGAGTACCCCTGCAACGCACCCCGTGAGTACACACACGGGCGGAGGGGAGCTGACATGGGATGTGAGTTCAGCTAGCAAGCCACAGTCAATGGCCCAAGACAATCAGAACTGAAGGAAATCCAAAATTATGCCAGATACTGGATGAAGCAGAACTGGATCAGAAAATGGAACAAGCGCTTGCCTGGGATAAAACCCTGTCCCGCTCATGCCTCCAGCATGGGACCAGTACTCACAGGAGCTGTGCTTGCAGATGTTCCAGCGTTGCCAGGGCTTCAAACTCTCTCTGGGAAAAGGGAGTTGAGGACTTGGTGTCAGTCATCTCCCTCTGGCTGGAAAGAGCAAAACCTTCTGTAAGCGAACCTGGAACCAACAATGTCACATTTCATCTGCGGCATCTGCCTGGTTTGGTGCCAGCGTCTCGCTGCACAGTCACAACACAGAGCTCTGTATCAGCAAAACATGTACAACCAGAGGCTGGTTCAGGCACTGGACCCATCTTGGCATTGAAAATAGACTAAATTGCTTTTCTGACTCAGACATGAAAGTGTCCCTGGCTCAGAGTCTCGGATTGCTGGTGCACTCACTGGGTTACAGAGGATGGAGATAGCTGTAGCCTGGTCAGGAGTGGAAAACACAATAAAACAATGCTTGGAGAACAGAAAGAGGCAGATCCTCACCAACAGGCCTAAGTCAGTTTTCTTCATCTGAACAAGACAACCAGGGTTTTTCTGTAAAAGTAACTGTTGAAAGGCTTCTACTCAAACCTTTGGGAGGTAATTGTGATTTCCAGGGACTCATTTCTGTAAAACAAGTCAAAGTCCACAAAGAAATGCTCCTGCGTCTCCCACTGTCACTCAGAACGAGCTGCCCACCTCGAAAGCATGAAGGGCAAGGCCCACTCAGCCATGCAGCACGCTCAAGGAGCGGGACCATCCACTGACAGCTTGCGACAGACCCACAGTCCCTGTAGGCTCCACTCTGGAGAGGGAGTGACTGGAAAAAGCAGGCCCTATGTCTTCTGAAGAGCACCATCCCAAAGGCAAGTGGAGAAACCAAGGACCCAGAAGGCCAAAACAGCCTAAACTTGCTTCCCTGTTGTTGTGGGATCTCTCTGAACCCCCTTCAGCTCCCCCCACGCACTTGGCACCAAGCCATTTGCACCACCCCAGTCTCCGCAGACAGTCCTGGTTCAGACTACACGCACCACCCATTCCAGAGAAGTCCCGAGGCACAACAGTAACGCACGGGTCAGTAGGACAGACTGCAGCTGCGGTAACTGTGCTAGTGATTATTTAAAATAGCAAGAAGAGAGGAATCAGAGAAAACCAGCACCTTGCACTGCCCCAGCAGGTCTGGCACAAGTGGGGTGCCCTAAGAGTCTGGTTCGACAGCTAAACCCAGTCTGTGCCAACAGGCCACAGACCACTGGTGCAGTGAAGGCTCTTACCCCTGTAACCGACACGCCGTCCGACTTGCGAGACTTCAGGTGGACGTTGGCATCATGTCCTATGTATCTGATCATGTCTGCAGCAGCTTCGCTGTCCTCAGTCAGATAACCCACGCCTGGCTGCTGCTGGGAGAGCAAAGGAACAAGAAATAGGAGATAGCACTAGCCTCGCGGCATCCAAGGCTGCCGTAAGGCCACGATTCACACTCCATACGCTGAGCAATAAATAAAACGGCCCTGCTGGAAAGTAGCATATTGCAGCTACTACAGTCACCTGCGTAACAGCAATCTCCTCCTTTACTTCTAACATTTCTTCCTCTGTTACGGGTTTCCCACTGCCGTTGGCACCTTCAGCTTCAAGCTCTTCCTGAGCTGAAGAAATGACAGTATCCTCGGGCTTACGCTTCCGCCGCAATTCCTGCAAGGCACCATAAGAAGGCTCAGGTGAGTAGCACGATCTCTCCACCTACCCAGCAAAGCAAGCTGGTCTCTGACCTTCTTTTGCACACATTTAGACATGGAGCTAGGAGGGTCCTGAGTGTGAATATATTTTAAATAGAATTTAACCTGTTTTGTATGAAAGCAGACAAACCCCAGGCCAGCCATCGGTAAAACACATCCAGTGAAATAAGGAATTAAACTGGAAGCTCAGCCTGATCTCCTGGGCAAGGCAAGCACCAGGATTCCAGCCAAAGCCCACCCCAATGAGTGAAGCAAAAGCTGTCGCGCACCATGGGAGATGGATCTATGAGTGGGGTCACATCTCCCAGCTCCACTGAAGCTCTGGTTTTGCCTTAGATCTGCCCTCACAAGAAGTGCTGTGATTTTTAACCAGTTTATAGTTGTAACACGTCATAGATCTAGCTGCCGCTTTGAGTGCATGCAGTTCTCCATGGGAAACCTTCCTCCCTTAAACCGAACTGCAGCCGAAGCCTTAAGGAACAGCTTTGAAGCAGAACTTCATTCAAAATGGTTCAGCCTAGAACAGCGAATGCAAGTCTTCATATACCTCTGATCCAAAGAGGTTTCTCAATTCTTCTAAATCCAGAAAGGAGACCGTGGTGCCTTGGATTTCTGAAAGGAGAAGACTACATGTTTGAATCTAATTACAGCACTCCGTCTGGGAAAACATAACAGAAAAGGATTATTCAAGGATTTTTGAGAATTAAAAACAGCTGTTATATTCTGTTGTGGAACCCACAACATCACAAAGGTGATCAGAGGGCTGGAGCACCTCTGCTATGATGAAAGGCTGAGAGAGTTGGGGTGTTCAGCCTAGAGAAGAGAAGGCTCCGGGGAGACCGTATAGCACCTTCCAGTGCCTGAAGGGGCTACAAGGAAGCTGGGGGGGACTTTTTACAAGGGCCTGTAGTGACAGGACAAGGGGAAACGGGGTTAAATTGAAAGTGGGGAGGTTTAGATTGGGTATCAGGAAGGAATTCTTCTCAGAGAGGGTGGGGAGGCACTGAGACAGGTTGCCCAGAGAAGCTGTGGATGCCCCATCCCTGGAAGTGTCCAAGGCCAGGCTGGATGAGGCTTGGAGCAACCTGGTCTAGTGGAAGGTGTCCCTGCCCATGGCAGGGGGTTGGAACTGGATGATCTTTAAGGTCCCTGCCAACCCAAACTGTTCTGTGATTCTATGATTCATAGTCAGTTAAATAATTCCTCTCACATTCCTCAAGTGCAAGCAGAGCTCGGCTGAACAGTAGCAACGATTAAGAGCCTTACATGCTCGTGTAGAATAAGGAGGTGGCAGGCAGGTCAGTTAACTGCAAAACGTTTCAACTGCATCTGTGTAAATGTATTTATTGGCATATATTGCACCAGGCGCCCCCAGGGCCCCCTAAGCACCACCCACATCTGGATGCACATGGCTCTGACAAGCTCTGAACCGGAGGCTCACTGTCACTCCTATGGAATAAATCTCACAGGAGACCCCTTACATATGTACACCACAACAGGGTAAGGAAAACATTAAAACTGAACGTGACCTGACCCAGGTTTATCTGCTTTCCAGGACTGCAGAGTCAGTAGGAGTCTTGGGGGACCAGGGTAATCTACTGGAGTAATCCATTCCAGGGTAATTTACTGGAGTAATCCATTCCTATGTATTTCCCTCTACCTTTTACACAGCAGACACAGCCTCACCTACCCCAGACCTAGAGAGCTGGAAAGGCAGACATCTTTTACCTTGATCTTATTCAGCTCCTCCAGCTCAAAATCCACGTCTACATCCATCTCAGACCGCTTCTTCCGAACGATGGCACTGACAATCTCACAGCAGCAGCCGCAAAGACGCAGAATGTCATCAGCCCTGCAGGAACGCCCTGGGATGCTTTATTCCCTTCCATCAGGAGCCTGCTGCTGTCACCGAGGTACAGGAGTCTCCAGAAGAGCATCCCTTGCCTGCCCCTTGCACAACCACCTCCCAGACAGCTTGTCCATGCACGGAGGATGTGTGAGCACAGATCGTGAGTGAGGTGGACCCTTTGCCCCGGGTGACCTGGACTAGAGACACACTGCCTGTGCTGCCCTTACTTCCTCAGCGCTCACCCGCAGAAGCGCGGGCAGAGCTCACGCAATCACAGATGCTAGCGTGTTTTAGAGCAGCACTAGGTATAAAGCAGGCGCTGCCATTCTCCTGAGGTGTTCCTATCCTACTAGGGTCCCTACAAATTCCAGTAAGGCCCATTTAGGACCCGGGAATGAGACCCAAGGACAACCAAAGCGATGGGATCTGTCGCCATGACCAATCTCTCAGCACACTACACTTTTTCTTAAAAAAACAAACAAACAAACAAACAACAAACCCTTAGATGACATTAAAAAGCTCTGCTGGTACCTGACTATAGAGCCAGAGAGTCTGCTCATCTCCACAGCCAGCTCTTCAGCCCCGTGCTGCAGCTTACGAGCCCTCAGCAGTCTGAGCTCCTCCTCGGCGTCTGACTCTTGCTGCTGGGGACACTCAGAGGACAAGCGCTCTTCTGTCACGTACCTCAGCAAGTTCACCAGCCACAGAGTCAGGTTTTTGTGCAGTTCAGTCACCTGCACAGAACATCGGAGCAAATCTAAACCAGTAGTAAACGACACCTTGCCAAGCAGGCTGAAGTCAGTGCATTTAGGTCAACGTCCTACCTAACTTAATTTGCAAACTGACCTAAGGACAGAAACATTTGTACCATTTTTCTCTCCCGTATTCATTCCCATTACAAACACATCTTTTCCTACTATGGATCTAATCCTTCTCCCAGTTCTTATTTAGGATCATTATCAGCCACGGGGTGCTCTCATCTGTCCAGAATTCAGTGAGAAACCAAAAAACTCAAAAATAATCACACACCACACTTCCGGAACATTTAAAAAATGCACAGGGAGAGCCTCTGACCTATGCTCCTGGGAGAAAGAAGTAAAACCACAGAGAGCTAGCAGCCCCAACAGCTCTCTGAACAGGAAATAACAGCGTTATTCCAGGGGAAATGCTTGCTCAAGATGAAACAATAAAATTATGTTCATGCACTGTACAGGAGACCTCATGGCTATTTTTAGAGTTCTCCTCTGCTGCTCTGGCTGGAAGACAACAGCCACAACTCCAACGGGAAAGAAGTTGAAAGAGAAACAAGCGTTCTGCGCAACTGCACTCTGGCCAGATGGAAATTAAAGACTGGATACTAGACATAGTGCTCTTCTCCCTAGCAGTTTCAGGCTTGCACTTACTTTTTCATTAAGATGCACGATGTCCTTCTCACCCTTATCATTCACAGACAGAACCCATCACACAATCATCTGAAAAAATTCTTTAGGTACCACCATGAAAAACAAAAACCCAAATCCAGAAACAAAGTGACCACCCGATCTGAGGATCCCCTCTCTCAAAGACACCTTCTTCCTTCCAACTCAAGGAAAACGATGTATGTTAGTACACCGTATCCTGGAAACGTGACACAGGCCCTTTTGCTAATGCTACAGTGGTGGGAAAACTTGGCATTTGCAATTAATATATCATAATTTATATACATCTCTCCTGCACGTGCTCTGCAGATGATTTCTTGACGATATTTCTCCGAGACAATGGAGCACCATGACAAGGAATATGCCCCCACAACTCTGTAAATTAACCATGTATTTGGTTTTTCCTTCAAAGGCCAAGATTCCCGAAGCAGGCGGCAGTTTGGAGGGAGACAGTGATGTTCCAGGAGCCATATGGAAACCACCCACTGTCTCCACAGATATTGCCAAGTCAAAGCAAAGGCAAGGCAGTCACCAATCCTTTTAATGCTTCAGCTGATCACATTTACCCCAACTGCCAGTGTCCTGAGCCAGGGTCCCCACAAAAGACCATTTCTCTGGTCTTACAGGGGTAGTTTAACATACAAGGCCAACCCAGACACAATTAACACCTCCGTCCTTACGGGAAATGCAGTCGGAAACAGCTCATGGCTGCATCCACCTGGGCCAGCCACCCGGGAACCTTGTGATAAAACGCCCACAGCTCAGCTTTGCCGTTCCTGCACGCGCCAGAACCCCTCCTCAGCTTTTGCGCCTTGGATACCTAATCTTCCATACTTCTCACCAAGGCTGTCAAAAACCTTGCTGTGCCTGCAGGTAAAGAGAACACGAAGCATTGATTACAATTCTTTCAGGCAGTAACAAGGCCGAGTTCACAGAGGGACGAAGAGCCTCTGTGAGAGCTGACTACACTTAGGACGAAGAGTGAGCTGTTTAGTAAGCACTGGATTCAAAGCAACCTGAAAGAAAACGGACTTGATCCAGAGCCCCTGCTTTTCTTCTTGCCTTGGCAGGTTTGGCTGCCTCACTGCATAAAGGTTTAATACAACTCCCTCGAAAACAGCTTCGCAGCGACAACTCGGCTCTTCAGAGGTGCAGGTGACACAGTGTGCACCGATGTGCCAAATGCCTGGAGAAGGCAGTAAATCACTTCTCCGCTCACTCCTCTGGCACACACTGGAGGACATTCTGTTTGTTGAGGAGCACGCTTGAAACGCGACAACCCTCGCTTTTGATACCCAATGTTTAAGCTTTCTTTAAACCCCAGTAAGGTCACGGCCTCCACAACATCTTGTAGCAAAGATGGCATGTCAAGCACACGGGGGTGATGCCAATTTTTTTAATATTTCAGTGATCTTGATGCATGGCTTGGTTTCCTCACCGTACAGCTGTGGGGTAGAACCGATTAACTTCTCCTCTTAAGAGCAAAGAAGAAAAGAGGTGGGTCCCAGAAGGGCATGGGGTGACCGAGAACAGTCACTTCTGATCCCTTACGTGTGGTTTAGCCGTATTAGACCTTACGCCGTATTCTGGATCCTTATTAAGCAGCAGCCAAGGTTGGGAAGGCTCTCTGTGTCATTGCATTTATCTTATAAACTTAACCAAGCCCCCAGCAAAACAGCAGACCTAACTGGAGCTCACTCTGGGCCCAGGTGCCAATTTCAGAGTCAAACCATCTTATTCTCCCCAAGAAGTTAGGCTGTGAAGGCTTTAAGAAGTGGTCAAGGAAAACTCAATAAAAGCAAAGACTCTAAAGCCAAACCTTAAGGATTTCATATAAGCCCTCTTTTTTACCTCCTGTCTAAAACAATCTCATATCCCGTTGTTTGCTCGTTGTCCACCTCCACTCCTTGTTATCGAATACCAAACCATTCGTAGTGCTGCACATGCTGCTCGAGATCAGGTAATCGGATCTTAGAAGATAATAAATACTTCAGGAAACTGAGAAATGCTTCAAGGCAGCCGAGTGCCCTGGCCTTACGGGACAGAATTACCATGTTCTCAGTATCGTCTCTTACCTGTTCTTTACAACCTCTGTAATTTTCACTGGTTTATACCACAGCTGCAACGTAAAGAGAAGGGACAGCTCGTATTTCCCACTGAATGGCCATTACATTACAAAGCAAAAATCAATCCAAGCTCTTCAAAATCTGAGGCCTTGTGAGGATGAAGAGAACGCCCTTCCTGTGGTCCAGTTTCCAAAGCCTTTGTTAAAAAAAAACCCAAAATCCCCTTTTCTGGACTTAACGGGCTGAAGCCTGCACTGTGCTGCCTGGGTCTTTGTTCAGATCATGACTAACTGTCGAGGCTCCTAAAAACTTGCTGTTAACTTTTTGCCATGCTGCTGTCTGGCCAGTTACAGCCCCGTTTCTTCTTCTTTCTCTCCCTTTCTAATGGGAACTACCAGAAATACTTATTTCCTTTAGCTGTCTCTTCGGATGGACAGATCTAGCATTCCTGAAATATAACATGCAGTATAAGGTAACGTAGGGAAAAACACAGGATAACCCTGAATGACAGAATGACAGTATGAGAAGCAGCTTAGCGAACATGAGTAGCAGCTCCAGACAGCACATGTTCAGTTTAGTTTTAGTTTGCTAAAAGGAAATAAGATGATTAAAAAAACAAACATCAGAGATGAAACAGTTCAGAAAACAGAAACAAGTCAAGGTCCTGCAGAGGCAAAGGTTGAGAAGGTTGGTTGCAAATTACCCAACAAATGTTTGTTATCTTACGCAGCACATGATAACTTTAGGTCAGCAAAGAAAACATTTATTTACATACTGAATTATCAAGATAGTAATATCAAGATAACTCAGTATCTAGATTAAAATAACTTTGTGTTCATGATAGAGTAATAAAAGAAGTATTACCCTCTGAGACAGTGTTATCTGGTTAATGATCTCCAAATGAGGTTTTACTTTACTTTTTAAACATCCATTCTTTCCTTTTACGTTTCTTTTCTTTTCCATGAGTTATCTGCATCATCACAAACCGCCCGTGCTCCCCCGCTACGTAACACCCCACTTCCCCGTGTCACATCTGCACTGCAAGTTCTTTGCACTGCACCACATTTATAAGTTTCGGATATTCTTTGATATGCGAGTGCCAGTCAAGTTTCTCAGAGTTTATCCCTTGCATGTTCTTGATTCCTAGCACGTATGGGGGGGTCGGACTTCAGCTTTGGAATAAGCCAGTGCAGACTATGTCAACAGGTCCCGTATGACCCACAACTTTCCTGGCATCCCCTAGGAAAGGCCGAACTGCAAAATGAGTAATTCCTTACCATTATTCCCAGTTATCCTTATACTGTATTGCTTGTAGAGTTTATGTGCCCTTCGGTTTATTTCTTCCAGGGCAGCGTGCTGTGGAGGCAGTGCTCCAGCAAAGTCCCGGTGTCGACTGAGCACCGTTTGGCCCAGCTCTGTCCAGTGCTCCTGCAGGCTAGCAGCGCTCCTCAGCCTCTCCATCCCTCGTAGGTGCACCTCCCCTCCATACTGCTGCAGGTCTTCTTTCAGCATCTGAAAGGAAAGGAGCAAGCTCACCACGCCCCCAGAAGTCAGAGCACCCTTTGGATGCAACAGAAAGGTGCTAAAATGGGGTAGGAGAAGCGTGAGGAATCCATGAGCTTGAAGATGTCACAGCGAGTAGGCAGCACGAGAAATTGGAAGCTTACTGGTGACAATTCTGAGCACTTCTACGGGTTATCATTATCAGTCACCAGAGCTGTGGCTCAGACAGCACTTAAATGCACAACTAAGTTCAGCGCTTGGGCTGAACCACGGTCTTGGTCAATTATAATTTCTCATCTGCAGACTCTGAGCTTGAACTTCAGCACCAAAGGCTTGAGCTGATGTGTTTCCGTTCACATCTGCGATGGGCACGGATGCTCACTGGGACTCAGCTAACACACGGTACTTTGCTGAGCACGTACCACTCAACAGCTCTAGCCCCCCAAAACCTTACCTTTATCAAGTTCTTGGTATCTTGCAGGATTTCATCCAGCAGTTTTTCATCCATCGCAGAGGAGCTAACGCAGATGGAAAGGAGGGATAAGCGGTGAAGGTAAAAACTGCTTTAGTAGCTAGTGTAAAACCAAGAGTGAAGATATCCTCTACACATGTCAAGTTCTTGGTACAAATCATAAATTGACAGGGAAGTAAAAACCACCAGGCTCTACTCAACCAGGGGTTTTTGTTCTCTCACTCAACAGAACACAGGAGGTGTCAGTTCAGAAAATAAGTTACTTCCCAGCAAAGATGAAAAATTCAAAGCACACCAAGAATTCAGACATCATTAATTCCATGACTGAAATCTAGGAGGTGATGTCTTGTTCACGCACACACTGTGCATTTCTGCATTACGTACCTGCTTTACGCTTTGTTTTACTTAACGTATCACAATGAACAAACAAAAAGCCTGCAAAATAGAGTCACCTTAACGTACAAAATGACTGGATTTGAAACGTCACGTCTTCGAGTCTCGTTTTGTGTCTGTACATGAGAGAACCGAATCATCTGTTGAGGCATCAATCCTGTGTGTTCAATTTAAAATACACCAGACTAAATAGAACTCCGTCATAGGAATGACAGCTGCAAAAAGAACGCTCTGGTTCATAGCAGGAGGGCGCAATGCTTGCCTCGCTGACTTTGACCAGAAGCCTGCAGCATCATTTGGGCGCTACTGTTAACGACCTGCTTATCAAGGTATGCGTGTTGAGTGGAAAATTGCGACAACAACTCCCTGCGCTGAGGGTCGGTGCGTGCTCCGCACTGGGCCGGCAAGGCCTGCTGCCAAAGGCGAAGGTTGAGGGAGCTGACTGCTACCCCACGTCCCCCGGGGCCACTCACGAGTCACTGCAGTGGGAGTGCTGAAGCCGCTTGTGGAGGCTGCTGCAGACAATCTGCAGTCTCGCCTGGCTGGACTCCTCAAAACGCTCTATTTCTGCTCCAATGTGACCCAACCTCTCCCTGAACTGCTCCGTCTCTTCCTCCAGATCCGCCAGGTCTCCCGTGTCCTGCAGGCAAGAGGGTGGGAAAAGGGACTGTTGTGACTACGTCGCTCCGAGTCAGAGGAACTCTCCCTCGGCCCTAGCTATTTTGAGACACGTCCTTATCAGAGGCCTGGGAAATGTCTAATTCCACCTCCCAGCCCTCGCAAGCCCTTTGAGACCGGAGCAGGGCAGCTGACCCTCCCCAGGCACGCCAGAACCAAGCGCTTGACTCCTTGTTGCGCTGCCGAGAGCGCACGCAACCCCGTAGCTCTGCAGCTAAAACTACACCAGCCTGGTTCTGTTTCCATTCTATGGAGATGGAACGGGGCGAGGGAGGAAAGTCACAGAAAACCAGGGGGAAACGGGAAAAAAGAAACGTGAGGTAGAGAAAAGGAGACATGGAGTACAGAGAGAAAAGCAGAGTGAACTCATTCAGATTCTAATACTCGTTTGAAACCAGACCGGGATTTGAAAGCTCCGATAACAGCAGTTTTCTCTTTCTGAGAGCTGTAGGGCGACCTACACACGCATGCAAAGGCTGAACAGGCCCCCATCACCAACAGGTCCCTACCTTTGAGCCCAAGAGCACTAGGAAATGCCTGAGGACGTTGGTCAGTGTCTTGCCACTAACATGGAGCTTGCGAACCGACATGAGCTGGTTTCTGCCTGCTATCTGAAAAAAACCCATCATTATTTGCCCTGTTTTCTTCTGAAAGGCATCTGACATGAACATAAGTGAAATGGAGCTCAAGAAGTTGAGTCTGCTTTCCTTACAAATAAACTCCCGAGCTCCTGGACACCCCCAAAAGCCCTGCTAACAGGCTTTAAACTAGAAATGGGATAACGCAGATGGCAAACGAGGGGGACACAAACCAAGAAGCACAGAATTAACCAAGAACAATATTTTGTGATGAAGTGCAAGGAATCTGTAGATGATATTCTAAACTATGAGGATTAGGAAACTTGAATCAAACCCATCTCTGAATGGAAAGATTAAATTTCACAGAAGCTCCTCCTGCACAGAACCTGAAGACACGTACAAAAAATGCAGCGTGAATTATGTGGTTTCTGTTTAAAAGACACGTGTGTGACGTACAACTGACCTCAGGGCAGGTATGAGATGTGTTGCTACTGGACTGAATTGAATATAAATGTTCTTTGGGTTGAAACCTGCCCTCGGAACAAGCCTGCTAGCCGTGACGTTTCATACCTTGCAGCGTATCACGGATCTCCTGCACCTACCTTCAGAGCCAGGTCGTAGGCAGCCGAGCTCCAAATATCCCTCTCTTGGGCTCGCAGCCAAACCTGCTCTTCCAGTCGCTTTCTCTGCGGCTCACATAACTCCCGATACTCTTCCAAAAGGCTGGAAAAGGCAATGAAATATGCACACCTGTGTTCCTCATTCACACTTACTGTCTTTCTGAAGCTGTTCTTTAGGCATTTTCTCTCCCTCTTTCCTTCCTCAGCCTCTACATTTGCAGGTCCTTTTCCCCGAGCCCCTACAACACCTTTGTGTTGATATTCCCATCGCAACCTGGATTCAGTATGACTACAGATCACTGTAAGCGAATCTGCGTGCCTGAGCACCACAGCTCTGATACCAACCGGCTAAATCCCGGATTTCTTAGGTATCTGAAGGTGTCCACAGGCCTTCAGCAGTTCAGAACTGCAGGCTCTGGTTGACTATGAAGTGCTCACCAGCTGTGAATTGGGGTGAAAAGCAGCTGAGCCACAAATGCAGCTCTCACGACTTAAAACTAGAGAGGTTTTGATCAGCTTTTTACCCATTTGGGGGGTTTAGCATTTATGGCAAAACAATATATATAATTATATCCTGAACAGCCACGCTCTCTTCCCCAGAAGGAAATCAGCTCTCACCTCTCCTTCCCAACAACCCCCACAGAACAAAACCAGCCCGCTGCAGAAATCTCCCAACCTCAACTTTGAAAACAACTTCCTTGGCACTCGCTTCTGCCTCCTGCATGGCTGCAGCCAGCTCCGCTTGAGCTCCTCCTGCTGCTTTGGTCACCCGGCAGTCGTGCTGCCGTACCTCGTGCAGCTCGCTGAAACGGCAGGGACGGACTTGGTGCAACTTCGCCCAGCGCGAAGGCCTCTGCTCTGGCAGACACGGACCGGTGGGCCCTGCACCATCACGCAGGGATACACAACCATCTCGCTGTGGGGGTGAAAGGCACCCTAAAGACCTCCCCGCGCAGGCGCGTCGCTCCAACCGCCCCTTCCTGCGGCCCCCCACCAACGCACCGCCAGCGTGCCAAGGACAGGAGGTGGCTTTGGCGTTCTTTGGCACTAAGAGGGTGCAGTGAGAGCGTAAGGAGGCTCGAGTGTGGTCCCTATAGCTCTGCTTCAAATCATAACACTGTCCTCCTGCTCCTGGGGAGGGGGGAAGCTTCCAAAACCCAACAAACTCAATGGTCTAAGGCAAGTGCATAGAGATCATTTCTTAGGATCAGGCAGGATTCAGACCTGGCCAGCTGTCCAACAGATTCTTTAAAACAGAGTAGCTCTTCCTCAGTGTGTCTGTTGACCCACCGCTACGACATCATTTTTTCGTAGAGGGTCTTCATCTGTTCAGGAATTTGCTCCAGGAGACGCACATACCTCTGCCTGCAGCAGAACGAGTAAAAAGGGGCATTTACCCGAGAGCGCAGATGTCTCTCGGGCCGTCCGAAGACCCCTTCCTGTCACTGCACAGGAAGCTATCCAGAAGCCAATCTTCTGAGTGTTTGGGCCAGGGATTTTAAACCCTCAGGAGCAATTTAATTGCTACAAATAATGGTAACCTGAGCACGGGAAGCCTGGCCATGAGGGAAGTACCAGCGATTCTGCGTGGGAAAGCTTCCACCAAATGTCACACCGCTAAGGTGCCTGCACTGCCAAGGGTGGTGACAGCGCCACCAACAGCTCCAGGTTACCCGACAGAAGCTCGTTAGCCTCGGTCGTTAAGTAGGCAGGGAAATCCTATTTCACTGCTGGCATCAGACCCCACGCCAATTCCATCACAGCGGGCTAGCTTTGCTGGGCAGGGACATGAGGAACCATCTGCAACAGCTAATGCCGCTCCGAGAGGACGCTCCCGTAAATCCAGAGGGGGATTAAGGGTTGGCTTATGGTGACCTGAGCTTCGAAAGCAGCTGTCCTCTCTCTACGCATTCCACGCTGACCTGCCGAATCAGCTCATGGAAAACGATGTTGTAGATGTTCTGCTCCGCCTTCATCAGCTCCAGCCGGTTGTGCAGCTGGCAAAGTGGGAGAGAAAGATCACAGCCGTGCGGCGCCTGGCCAGCCTACGCCTTTAACAGGGGTGAGCACAGATCCCTCATTTCTTCCGGAGGAGGTTTCCCTTTGAGGACAAAACACTACTAAAGGTATACCGGAGAAGGGAAGGATCCATCCTGCACACATTCACAGGCTCATCTTCCTACCCTCCTCTCAACACCCATGGCAGCTTCTCCGCTAATTCCAGCTGGAGTTCATGCTGAGGCCACACTACGTGTTTCAAAAAATCCTTCCCCATCCATTTAAACCTTCCCCATTACCATGCAAGAATAACAGAAAATAAGGCCAAGCAAGGTACAGATGTTCTCCGACATCTGCTTTGCCGGTGTATGAAGGTTTCCAGTGGCCCATTTTGCAAGACAGCAGCCTGTCTCCCGAGGAAGAGATGAGACAGCTACTGCCTTCATTCCTCCACAGTAACGCCAAATGCATTCCTTTCTGGCATTTTTAGCAAACTGTTTGTTCTTCGTGGATTGAAGAACAAAAGCTCACCATCTTCAAAGACAGCCAGCAGGTCAGGAGAGGAGCCCTTTGGCTGTTACAGGACCCACAGACAGCTGGCTCGGGCAGAAACTAGCTGCCAGGAGGCACAGCAGGGATGAACACTGGGGAAAACAGGGTGTTATTTTTCTGGGCACATGAAAATTGTTCAGGTACAAGTGAGTTATCCACCTGGGAAGGTCCTGTTATTCTGATTTGCTTGTCTACTCCAGCTTTTTCCAACATGCTGTCCATCACCTTCATCAGCGGGATGACCTCCAACCCCCTGGAGGGTTTCGTGACAGACCAGAAAGAGACCCATCATTACTGTGCATGGCCTATTATGGGATTTCCCCAGGAAATGAAATCCAAACAGCTGGGTTTTTTTTCCAACAACAGCTTCACGCAGGGTGGTACTTACGAGGATGGGAAGAGCCGCAGTTTCTTTTCACGGTCTTCAGCAGCGTTGTGTATTTACTGAGACGAACACAAGCGTTAGCACTCGGTTACAAATCCTTAAACAACGAGAAAGAATCTCCTTTACACTTAAGTTGTCTGGAGAGACCAAGCAGAGTCTTAGAGCCTTTTTTGGGCAAGGCTTGGTAAACTCTCACTGGAACAGCTTAAAAAAAAAAAACTGTTATTCTGGTTTGCTTGTCTACTCCAGCTTTTTCCAACATGCTGTCCATCACCTTCATCAGCGGGATGACCTCCAACCTCAGAGACCCATCATTACTGTGCGTAGCCTATTATGGGATTTCCCAGGAAATGAAATCCAAACAGCTGGGTTTTTTTCCAACAACAGCTTCACGCAGGGTGGTACTTACGAGGCTGGGAAGAGCCGCAGCTTCTTCTCACCGTCTTCAAGCAGCGTTGTGTATTTACTGAGACGAACACAAGCGTTAGCACTCGGTTACAAATCCTTAAACAACGAGAAAGAATCTCCTTTACACTTAAGTTGTCTGGAGAGACCAAGCAGAGTCTTAGAGCCTTTTTTGGGCAAGGCTTGGTAAACTCTCACTGGAACAGCTTAAAAAAAAAAAAAAGGAAAATAAAAAGAGATTACAAACAAACAAAAACCACCAGAGTGGTCAGATGCAAGACACTAGCAGGTTTATACCAGCATAAAGCCAGGGCCTGCCCAGCTTTGTGGCGGAAAGCAGTTCTAAAAGAAAACCAGGTAAACTAATCAAAATTATAGCTATATTAAAAAAAGCAGTAGCAGCAGCAACAAAAAAAAAAAATCCAAAAGTTGCCTCAAGGGATCAAACCAGATTTCAGTTTCTACATTTGTGTCCAACTACTGAACCCGCTGAGAAAGTACGAGGGGACAGGAAATCTCTGTTGGGCACCCAAAGCAGCAGGGACAAAGAGCAGGAGGGTGACGGGATTTACACGACCACCCCCCCTTTGTGTGCTGCCCCCCTTTCCCAGTGGCAAGGGGTGTATTTGGGCAGTGTCCTCCGCCTCTCACCGCTGTATCGCCCTGCTCTGAACAGTTGAGGGCAAACCGTTATAAACCAGAAATCACTCACTCATCGAAGTACTTCAAGGGCAAAACCCCCCTGTTCATCACGATGTGAAATTCCTTGGGAATCAGACTTTCTCCTAGGGGTGCGTGCTAGGGATGGGAAAGAGAGAGAGCACAAAACAGCAGCATGAGACATGTGAACACGCTCCTGGTTCCCTCCCACACTGGACACTAGTTTGGCAGCTGGGATGGGGAGGCTCATGGAGCGGGCTGGTCATGCTGCTTTTCCCTTTCCCACTCCACACGTCCAGAGCCCGACAGAACCAATCCGTGCCCGAAAGCGGATTGAAACGACCGACACTGAACTGCGACGGAGGAGCCGCGAGGAGAGCCCATGAGTTTTAGGACTAGGATAAGATCGGGGGACACAGATGAGGACCCCCCTTCTCCCGGCTGGTGACGCACGCGGAGAACACCCAAGGGCAGCACTCACAGGAACACGCAGCAGCGTACCATGGCTGCCTCGCGGGTCCCGACAGCTCCCAGTAAGACAGCTTCTGCCAGTCGTTGCCTTCTGAGCTCCTCGGCCAGTCGCCGTGTCACACAGGTAAGAGACGTCCCTGAAACGCAGGGGAAGAGCTCAGTCACTGACTCGCCCCGCAGCCCACCCACCCTTCCCTTACGGCCAGCCTAAGCCAGGCATGGGTTTGTTCTGCTCAGCCCAAGGCCAGGACTCCCTTCCTTGGGCCAAAAACACCAGATGAGGTCAAGTTTTTCAGGCGCATCAACCTTGCACTGCCTCACCGTTTTTCACCTCTGCTGACAGCGCCCTGTCGCACACACCCAACGCCCGATAAAGAGCAAAGCATGTTTTAACTTCCTCGCGCCGTTAAGCCTTGCTTATCTACAAAGAAGCGTAAAGCTAGTGCCTGCTAAGTCCATTAAAACCAGAAGAGCTTCTTTTCTTAATCACAGCGCATCCCTGCGAGCCTGGCACCCTTTGGAAGGATGGTTCCACGAACTGCTCGTTTAGCAACTCGTCTATTCTTCCCTCAAATCTCTCCTGCCCAAATTCGGATGGGGCAGCTGGTCCGTTCATCCAGCCACCCACCGCAAAACCAAGGGAGAGATCTAGCTCTGCCTTCCCAGCTCCAACGTCTTCCCGTTGCCCTCGTTCCTTATCCCTTCTTTGCTTACCTTCCAGCGCCTGTCAAACTGACAGGGTGGTCTGTCAGGTGTCTGAACTCGCTCCGACGATTAGGGTAATGCCAAAGCCGATCTGGGGTTTGCAGGCAGCCCTGCAGACAAGGAACACGTGGCTGTCGCTCCTGACGGAGAAACACGCCGAGGAGTGGGAGAGGTCAGGGTGGCTGCCGAGAGCTCCGCAGCGTTCTCTCGGTCTTGGGGCTAGAGAAACCGGTGCGGACAAACCAGCTTCCGCACGGGCTTCACGGCAGCACCGGGGTGGATGCATGTTTTATGGTGCTGTAAAACAGCATTTTGGGTCAGAAAAGTGACGTCACACAGGATAAATTTATCCTACAAGGTTGGCCAACTTCCCTTTTCCCCAGGGAACGAACACGCAGCCCCAGCAGAGTCAATCCTGGACAGAACGTGGCAGATGGCAGCAACACTCACCCTGAAGCCCCTTGGGGGTTTGGTGGTTTGCAGGGACCGTAAGTACGCCGGGCTGTAGAGAGAACTGCTGGCACGGGTCAGGCTTCGGAAAACCTCTTCTGGAACAAAGCTATGCTCCAGGGAAGACGGAACAGGCCTGATGCGGTCAAACATCCTTGAGGTATCCCTCAGCTTGGGCTTCTCTGGAAAACAGCATGACAGAAACACTTCAACAGGATTTCTTCTCTTGGTGGAAGAGAAAGCAAAGCTGATGCTAAAACACAGGGCTGAGAAGAACGAGGTGCCTTACTCCAAACCAGGATCAGCTCTATTCAATCCCTTATCCCAAAGCAGGATCTACTACCTGAAACACAGGCAGCTAATCCCATTTTTAGCAGTTGTTAGATCATAGGCGAAGCATCAAATAGCAGTTCCATTCTACCAGTGGGGGATACCGGTTGCACAACTGCTCCAAGCCACTCCACGCCAACGCCAAGGGATGCTGTCAACGGCTAAAGCGTGGATGTTCCTGCAGAGCCAGGCGGCTTTCCGCGAAGATATTAACACCCTAAAATACCAGCAATCACCTAAGGGTAAAACTTAGTGCAGAGAAGCATCCCGCAGGCAAAGAGAAGCTGGGAGGACAGTCAGACCCGCGACCTCCAGCCCAGCCCTACCTGATCGCCCTGTGCTGACCAAGCCTGCCCGCAAGGTTCCGCTCAGCTTCCTTCCGACGGCTCTCGCTCCAGGAGCCGGCATTCCCATCGCAGGCATGGCGAACGTTTCTTTTAACGTTTAGCCAAGGAAGCTTGCAGCAAGGAACAATCTAGAAACAGAAATAAACCCACATTTGTACTTCTTAGGGTGAGCAGCTTTACTTATTATGAAACCCCAGAAATCCTTGGGCCTGACGCCAGGCCCAGCAGTTAGGAAGGAGCCCCTGATGCTTAGCTATGTCCTCCCTAGGGGTGCTTGTTCTTCCACCTACAAACCGTATTAACAACTGCTTCTTGCACACTGAGCTGCAGATTTAGTAATATTCGTCCACAATTATTATCTCACTAATAAAAAAACCCCTATTTCCATTAGTTCCCTGATCTCCATGAATTCTGAACTTGCTCCAGCTATATATTGCTCTTTAGGAAGTGCTCCCAGGCCTCCTGATGAGCCGCGTCCTTGCGTGCTGCGGTTTCAGATTCGGTCGCCTGCACCCCTCTGCCTTCAGAGACACGGCGGGGGGCGTGGGTACTCTTGTCTCGCTGTGTAAAGGCTTTACGGAAAAGGAAACGCAAAAAACTGCTAAGAACTCCTGACAGGAGGACGCTTTTCCCTCCCCTTTAGCAGCTGTTTGGCAGTACACGATATTCCTACCAGAAGGGATGGGAAGATGAACGGCACCGTTCTGCGGCAGCTACAGTTTAAGGACACCGACATCAGAGCACGTGGGACAACAGCTGGAAAATATCACAGCAAGTTCTTGGCACACAAACCCTTTTCAGGCCCAAATTAAAGGCAGAAGTCATCAACGTGATACATATTTGGCAGTTGTCACGATTTAATATGCATTAAAATTGGGAAGGGTTAGAAACCTTGGTCTGTTCCAAAAGCCATCACCTCCTTCTCCGTGCTCCTCTCCAGCACTTCCAAGGACATCCTTCCCTCTGGCAGGGACGTGACAGCGGATACGCAGCTTGTAACACCCCAACGATCCTGCTCCGCTGGTATTTAGCCCCGACAGCTCCTGATGCTCTTCAGGACCTGAAGAGGGGCCTGTGTGACAGTTTCTTCCCGCACATCCAGCCCAGGGGATCTCTTCCCTGGCCTCCAGCCTCATGCCTGGTTCCTCCAGGCTTGGGTGTCCCACGGCATGGCTACCTCCATCCTGCCCCCTTGGATACCGGCAGGCTTGCAGCCCACCCAGGCAGGCCGGGGGCAGCCTCACAGGCCACCCCACACCCACGGGCTTGCAGGGCCCAGACTCCCAAGAGCAGGCCACAGCTCCCTCCTCCCAGGGCCTCCCCAATACCTGCCAGCCCTTAGCCGCTTGGCAGCACCTCCCTAGTTCCATCACCATGGGAAAACAGGACTCGCCTGGCATTC